GCACCTAAGGAAAATGACAACGAAGGTTACTCCTTAATTAAAAAAAGTGACGTCTAAGATTGTGCAAACAATGACGTTAAAGATGGTGTCAAGACACCAAACTGATGATTCTGGAAAATATAATACTCATCTGCATATAATTTTTTTTTTAATGGACAAGACAAGACACACACCTGTCACACACCAACACTTGGCTATTATGATAACTTGTACAAGAAAGTGTCACTCAATTACAATCTCAACTACAACCTATATGTGGCGTGTTAAAATCTCTAATTAATACAAATTACAAAATAAATAAGACGGCGGGCCTGAAAATATTAAAGGCAATAGATATGTGATTTACATTTCAAGTCCATATCATATGCAGATTCTTTTAATCTGGACCATAGAAATGTGAGCAACAACAATATTTTGTGACCCAAGTGGTTGTATCTTTTAGTTTCTCAAGCTTTGTTTCGTCCTTTTTTTTTAGGAGAAATTTTGTGTTTTCACTTAAACTAAAGTAAAAAATTATAGTCCTTGTAGTCCAGTTTCGAAAGAATAAAGTGAATAGGTAAGTTTTCTTACCAACGACAAAAAAAAAAAATAAATAAATAAATAAATAACTAAATAATAATTTAAAAATTTTTAAAAAGAAAAATTTCCCGAAATTTCTCTTTACGCACACAGGCTTATGCAGAAAAACTTAATAATTTTTGCCCCAATTATTATTTTATTTTTATTTTTTTGTGGGATGTTGTTGAACAATCGCTGTTCTAAAAAAAATATGCAGTTGCACGTGACAGTGTCCCAAATTCAATCACATTATTGAACAGCTTTTTAGGTAGTTATTGGGTCACATTGCGCATGCGCAAACCTTGTGGGGTATTGTCTCATTAAAGCATCGGTTGGCTGCATCACTCCAGACTTGAGATTCCTCCTCGTTATATTATGCAATCCACCTTCATTTCTTGATATTTACAAGCACAGCTTCACTTGGGGGAAAGAAATTAAGCAGAAGATGAGTGGAGCCAACAATGGTGGCGGCGGCAACTGCATCGGAACTCCGATCACCGGACAGAGCGGATCAGGGGGCCGGGGGGCTTTTTGTCAGCCTAAAAGAGGGTCGGTGACGAAGAAAATAGTTTCTGAGCTCTTTTCTAAATCTAGCTCTTCTACCTCTTAGTAGGTTGAGTTACTAGTCTTAACTATTTTGTAGGCGTTACTCGGTGGACTACTTAGATGTCAAGTGTTCAGTTCTTTGAGTGGTTGTGCCCGCGTCGAAGTTCTCTCACCCTAATTTGTCAAAAAATAAATCTTGTGTGTATGTAAATATTTCATGTAAATACTTTTTAGATATGTACTATTATATTTGCTTTGTGTATTATATACTGTTCTTTTTCTCGCCAACGTAAAGTTTTGATTAAGGGAAAAATAGTTGAAGCAAAAGGGGAAAAGATCCAAGTACAAGCACAAAAATAATTTTTTAAAAAATATTTTATGCTCAGACAAAGTAGTCTTTTGGCTATTCTCGTGGTAGTACAACCATATCATCAACATAATGATTTTGGATTCCAGTCAAAATTATTATTATTATTATTATTATTTTTTTTTTTTGCAAAACAAATAAATTAAGAACATGTTCCAGATTTGTGGAGGAAATAGAGCCCAATATTCTGTAAATGGAACTACCATGGGAGAACGCAGCAAACTAGAGAGACCAAAAGGTCTAGCCATCAGCACGGCAATCGCTTTAAAATTATAACCACAAAGCGCTCTGACACACAAAACCTCGCACAAAATCCAATCAAGGAGAAAAAGATCAAATTTAGGTAGAAAAAACCCAAATCGGCCTAGACCAAAGATCTAACCGGAGAAAAACAACAGATCTGCTCAGGCGAGCCAAAAACGAAACAAACAGGAGCAGATTTAGCCAAACCAAAAAAAAAAAAAAAAAAAAAAAGCGTAAAAAACATCCACGAAGCGCAGTTATTCAAACACGTCGAGTTTATTGCTATCGTGGGAGACAAGCTAGCACCTCCCCACTCCCATGGAAGGGAGCAGGGAGTGCAGAAGAAAGAAAACCAAGGCTTGTTTAGAGAGAGAAAGTTAGAGAGAGGTGACTGCGTTTTCTATCGATGGAAAAAGATTACTTTATGGTCAAAATTAATTGAAGAATATTGCCCTACTGAAGTAATTTTAATTTTGATTAATCGAATAAGATAGGGTTTTGTGGGATAGAAAATTCTAACAATTTTATATATCATCACAGCGAATCCTTTTTATTTTTTATTTTATTTTTTGTGAAATTTTAATTTTAATTCATGCTAGAAGATTGATTTTTGTGGAAGAGAAAATTATAGCAAAAACTGTTATAATTTTCTCTTCCACAAAAATCAATCTTCTAGCATGAATTAAAATTAAAATTTCACAAAAAATAAAATAAAAAATAAAATGTATATGTATATACTTTTGTTATAATTTTCTCTTCCACAAAAATTAATCTTCTAGCATGAATTAAAATTAAAATTTTACAAAAAGTAAAATAAAACATAAAAAGTATATATATATATATATAAATTTTTATTTAGTGGATTCCTAGTTCACCCTCTTACAGGGCCATGTGGCCAACAAAGGTTATTAATTAAAGATTCGTTTGGTTAGACGGAAATAGATGGTAGAAAGTGAAAGTGAAAGAAAGTGAAGTAAAGGAAAATAAAACTAAGTTTTCATGATGCATTTGGTTAGCATGAAAATTTTTCAAGAAAGTTGTGAGAAAATATTATGTTGTTTGTTTGAATAGAATGAAAGAGAAAAGAAAATGATTGTACCTTTCAAAATTGTCTTTATAATTTTAAATATAAAAAATATAAATAAATTTGAGGAAAATTAATTCATGCATCAAATTTTGTTATTGATAATAATATTCTGAACTTGTATGAGACACCAATTCACTTGAATTCTTAAGGGTTGGGTTAGTTAAAAATTGATGGTGAAAGAAAATAAAATTAGTTTTCTATTATGTACTTGGTTAACAAGAAATTTTTTGAAAAAATTTGTGAGAAAATGTTTTTTAATTAATTTGGATAGTAAGAAAGTGATAGAAAAATGATCTTACATGTTAAAATTATCCTTATGAATTTAATAGTAAGTCATATACATTCACACAATAAGTAAAATAAAAATAATAATAGTAATGAAATAATATATACAACTGGATTTATGAATAGATATATATGTCCGTGCATATATACGTCCAGAGGGGTAGTTATTTTTTGTTTTTGTTTTTGTTTTTGTTTTTTTGTTTTTTTTTTTATTGTTTTAAGAAGTTTGCATTATGTATTAGGATTCTATTATTATATTAGTTTACTTTGTTTTGTAAGTGTGTCGAAGAGTTATAATTTGAAGAGTAAGAGAGATGTAATCAAATTAGGAGTATTAATTTGTATAAGAAAATTCTCATTTTGTGAGTTAGAAAAAGAATAAAGAGAAACAACTTATAAGAGTATAAGATGAAACTAACATATAATGATACAATTTTAAGGCAAAACTTTTGCGTATTTTATGGAGCAAATATTTTGAGAAAAATCAAGCGGAAATATTACTTTTCTAAAAAAATTTCTTTTCACGCTAATCAAATTGCTAATTTTTTTTCAAAATTTTTTGTTTTCTTTCTCGCTAGTACACGTTAACTAAACTAAAATTAAAAAAAAGTGTACGTTGGAAGGTTTTATTATTTAGAGATAGAGTCAAAGTCAACACTTTTCAATTTCATGGACTTTGAGCAAAATAATGGAAAAACACTATTTATCCAAGGTCAACATTTTTCAATTCATAGACTTTGATCAAAATAATGAAAAAATACTGTTCATTTATCAAAACTACCTTTAATATTTTCACGTACCACTTTTGTGTACAGATATATTATTTTTGTGCATATAAGTATCACTAGTGGTGATTAAATGTACCATTTTTGTGCATAAAAGAAGTACCAATTTTTTGTAGGTAAGCACCACTTTTTTTGCACAAATGTATCATTTTTTTTGTGGAGTATTTTGATTAATTGGGTTGTACAAACATGGTAATTGTGTGTATAGAAGTGGTGTACACAAATAGTACTTACACGCAGAAAAAAAATATATATATATCCAAAAATATTAAGGATGGTTTGGATAAGTGAACATGATTTTTTCATTTCCACGTCAATGTTTGATCAAAATTGATGATTTTGAAAAATGTTGTAATAACTGCCTAGAATACACTTTTATATAATTTTGCCCGTTAATTAAATTAGTGACGTCAGAGATGCGAAACACGGTGACGTCAAAGAATTATGGTGTTGGGGACCCCAAACCCATGAAACGACAAGTGATAGTAAAGTATGTAGTGCTGCGAAAAAACACAACAACGTGGCCTCTAAACATTTATGGCCAAGGATAATGGTGGATTAAATTTCAGCTTTATATCTTGCAGATTCTTTTAATCCGGACGATAGAGAAAGCAACGTGCCGACAACAATATTTTATTTATGTTTTTTGTTCCTCCAAGCGTTTGTATTTTTTTTTTTTTGGTTTCTTTAAGGTGCGTTTAGTTGGAAAAAAATAATAATAATAAATAAATTCTATCCCTCTTCAATATCAGCATTGAAAACTTTTAGCTAGCTGTTTTTTTTAACTCCTGGGACCATTACATTTCGTGATAAGATATTTTGTGTGAGGAGGTATACAAATATTGGTCAGTTCAATCAATAAAAATATATTATTTTATAAATTTTATTTTATTTATTTTTTAAAATAACTTTAAATTAATTGTTATATTAATTTTTATTTTTAGAGTTTACTAATAACAGCATGCGTGACCCCCAATATCTACCCCACATTGCCATGAGCAAACCTTTTGGGGGTATTGTCTCTTTCAAAAGCCTCTTTTTCTGCATCACTTCAGTGTCCTCTTCTTTAAATTATGCAATCCACCCTGGTTTCTTGAGATATATATATATATATATATATATAAGCATGGCTACAGTAAGGAGAGAAGAGAACTAAGGTAGAAAATGAGTGGAGCCAACAATGGTGGAGCTGCCAACGACCACGGACAAAACGGATCAGGCCAGCCCCTGGTTTGTCTGCCCCCCTAGCAGGGCCGGCCCTGGCCCAAGGCAACCAAGGCGGTGGCCTTGGGTTTCAAATTTTAGAGGGCCTCCAGCAGATGGAAAAAGAAAAAAATATTAAGTTAGAACACGTCTGGGTTGGGCCTCAAATTTTAGAGGCCTCAAATTTTGAGGCCTATAAGGGATTTAAAAAAAATAAAATAAAATAAGTTAGGGCAAGTTTCAGACGACCCAATTTGCTTCGACACTCCGCAGGGCGCAGCCTCCGCTATCGCCTCAGGTGACAAGGTATGTTCATCCTCTTTCTCTCTTCTCTCTCCTTTTGCATGAATCGATCTTTTATATGTGTTTATTTCTTTCGTTCATCTCATCATTTGATTTGTTCTAACTTTGGTTCGTTTGATTCGGGCCTTTACATATGTTCCAATAGTGAAAAGTAGCTTCCAAACTAGGGTTTTTTGTGTGTGTGTTGATGGCTGTCAAAAGCTGAATGAAAATATTATGGTTCTCTTAGTATTTTAATAAATGTGTGCCTTTATACATGTGTCTTTCATGGCGATCGAGTCCATAATCTATGGCAGGTACTTTTTTATTTATTTATTTTTTTTCCTCTCCCTAATTCCCCTCCAATCTCACAACAGCAGCAACCATACCCCTTTTCCTCATAATTTTTTGCATTTTCATATTTAATCCTACGAAAATTAAGGATCCCTTCTAGTGGGTTGAGCCTTTGAGGTAATAATTAACTTTTTTGATCTCTAAATTATGCTCATACTTAAAAGTGCCAAATTAAGGTTTTTTTTTTTTTTTATATATTTTATTTTTATATGAAGATACATACCACCATTATTGATGTTATTTGAAGTTGGCTCAGCTAGAATTTCAGTTAATAATACTCTCAAAGCACTTGTCATCAGAATGTACGAACGCATGGAAATCAAGAGCAGGCTTTAACAAAACGAAAGTTAATGCTTTTTCTATTAATTTGCACAGGTCTTCTGTAGCACTTTTCCACCAATCACTGCTACTAAAGTTGATTCCTCATCCTGAATCAAGAAAGGGTTAATTGGCTCCCAAAAAAAAAAAAAAAAGCAAACATAGTTAATATAAAAAGTGGAAGACAAAACTATATATATAATAGTGCCACATATAACCTAAAAGTCCCGCTGCTTCTTCAGTACTACAAGTTCAGCCTCCTATAATATATACATATATATATAGTCACCTAATCTCCACATATTTTTGTCATATGTAATCATCAAATTTTAGTAGCTATATAAACAATGAATGTAAAAGAAGATGCAGTTTTTTGTTCTCTAATAAACTGTTCTCTTCATTTTTTATTTTGTGCTTGTGAAAAGTTCGCACTCTTTAATTGATTGATTTATTGTTATTAGTTAGCTGTATTATGCGCACTACGCATGCGCATAATTATTTATTGGTGATGATAGATTTATAGTTATTAATTAGTTGTCTTATGCAAACTGCACAGACGCACAATTATTTATTGGTAGGGATAAAAATTTGTAGTTATTAGTTAGTTGTCTTAAGCACACTGCACAGGCACACAATTATTTATTGGTGGTGATAGATTTTATAGTTATTAGTGAGTTGTCTTATGCACACTGTACAGGCGCACAATTATTTGTTAGTGGTGATAAATTTGTAGTTATTAGTTAATTGTCTTATGCACGATGCACAGACGCACAATTATTTTAGCTATAAAATTTGAAAACATCGTGTAAAAATTTTGCACTCTTATAATTTTTTTTTACGTGTGAAACTTAAGGGCCTCACATTTGAAAGTTCGCCTAGGGCCTCTCAAAATATTGGGAATCTCAGGACCGGCCTGCTCCTAGAGGGTCGGTGATCAAGACCATCGACGCTAGCTCTTCCAACACTTAGGTTGAATTACTTGGTTATTATCTTGTATTTGTATTACATATCTCGTGTAATTACTTGCTAGATATGTAATATATTCCATGAACACCACATAATAAAATATCCACTGACAGAAAACGCTTTCACCTCTCTCTACCTTTCTCTCTCTAAGCTAGCCTTCATTTTCTTCCTTCTGTACTCCCTGCTCCCTTCCATGGGAGTGGGGAGTTGCTAGCTTGTCTCCCATGGTAGCAATAAACTCGGTGTGTTGGAATAAGTGCGTTCCGTGGGTGTTTTTTATGCCGCTTTTGTTTTTTGTTCGGTTAGATATGCTCATGTTTGTTTCGTTTTCGGGTCGCCTGGGTAGATCTGTTGTTTTTCTCCCGCTAGATTTCTGATCTAGGCTGGTTTGGGTTTTCCCCGCCTAGATTTGATCTTTTTCTTCTTGATTGGATCTTGTACTGGGTTTTGTGTGTCGGAACGCTTTGTGGTAGTAACTTTGGAGCAGTTACCATACTAATGGCCAAACCTTTCGGTCTCGCCAGTTTGCTGTGTTCTTCCATGGTGGTTTCATTTGCAGAGTGTTGAGCTCTGTTTCCTCCACAAATTTGGAGCCTGTTCTTAATTTATCTGCTTTGCTTCAAGATTTGTATGTCTTTTCTGGCTTGGCTTTATGCCTCTGCTATCTTGACTTTAGACCTTTGTGCCTTTGAATGACAAAATAAAATAAAATAAAATACATATGTCATATATTTGCTTTGTGTGTGATACTATTATTGTTCTTTTTCTGCCTGCATAAAGTTTTGATTTGGTAATAGTTGAAGCAAAAAGAAAGAAAAAAAAGCTCTAATTAGTACTTGCACTTGGATCCTCTATTGTACACGAGAGTGTTCTAATTTAATTTGACTGTTAAAATTAAAATAATGTTATGTTTTTTTGGGTTTTCTCATGTATTTATTAGCGTGCATGTCTGATGAGGGGATCCGAGTCTTCCTTTTCGTCTTTGTTAGGTGAGAGTGGGAGATAAAAATAGACGAGAAAGAAACTAATTATATAAAGATAACTCCTAAGTTCACTAATTATTTAACTGTTGGCAAATCTCTTTTGTATGTGTTGTCCGGAAAGAGGACTCGACGATTATTAGTTCCCAGGAATCGGAAGTAAAAATTTTGGTAGTGACTGACTTTATTCCTTTAATCACAGGAGAGGAAGGGGTCTCTGAGTACGGTTCTCTCTTGTAATAGGGAGGATGAGAGATCATTAATTACTGCAAAATATTTAGGGGAATGAAAAGATTTGGTAAATTATTGGTTATGATAAATTGAATAGATGAAGGGAGTACAGAATAACTAAAAACAATAAAAGATGGAGGGACAAAGTCCAAGCAAGAACAAGAGTTTGATTCTACTAAAATTACTCCTGCTCTTAAGAAAGTAGAAAAAAAAAAAAAACATCACTATGAAAAATGGCAACACTACCTTTTTTATTTTTTATGTATGAACAATTTACAATGTCATTATGGCATAGGCAGCGGGCAGCCCAAAAAAAAAAAAAAAAAAAAAAAAAAAAAAACCAAACAGTTGGCTTGGCTAACATGACTCTTAACCTGAAAGCATATAGCCGTTGCTAACTACTGCAAAACCAGTTAATGGATATCATCATTTCCGGTGAGTGCTTGGGCAATCCATGATTAATCATCCAACAACGTCGTCTGGAGGCCGTGGCGGTGGACGGGAACGGCTATGGGCGAGGCTCCATTCACTTGCCAACGTAGATAGGCTATCCTTCTTTGATGCCAAGAGATCTCCGGCAATGGATGCCGTAACAAGCTTGAGAACCGATGATTGCGAAGATGGTGTGTTCTGTAGAGCCTATTATTCCTTTCTTGCCAAATGTGATACACAAGAGTAGTGATTGATGTTGTACAGAGTTGGATTCGGGAGCTATTGCTAATCCAACGTTGGCTTGCCCACACAACGAATTGGGGCCAACTGTCACCATGCGTATAAAATCGGCAACTGTCCTGGAAAAATCTCCAAATTGGTGAGATTTGAAGAAGATATGGGAGTGGGATTCAGGCTTGGAAAAGTAGATCTTTGGTTCGACCTTTGTCATGATTTTGCTGTCTAATGTGGCCATCCATAGAATCACCTTTTGCCTCGAAATGGATAATTAGTTTATTATTTTTTTTTGAAAGGTAAAATTTAATTTTATATAATAATAACAGGCTATATAAAGGCAGTTAGCCCAAGCTAACTTCAATTATAAGGCCCAAGACCAACCCGGCAAACATCAAACCAATTCCTAAGTCTGATAGAGAGAAGAAAAGAAAAAGAAGGCAAACCAATTCCTTTTAACTTTCTCGGTTTTGCAAATGACAGCTCCTGAACTATCAATTTGCCAAGCAACAAAAAAAAAAAAATCATATACTTTTGTGTTTACATGTAAATTGCAGACTCAATTTTTGCTCAAAATTTGATGGAAAAAATTCAGGTGAGCCTAACACCTCGGCACGGGATCTTGTGTTCAAGCTCGGCTCATGACTTAATGAACGAATACGAGCTTTTAACGAACTGTGCCTGACAACCCTGAATTCTTGTAGCCACATATTACATGTACAGTTTGAACAATATGCTGCTTCTTTTAGCTGCCTTCAGGTTAGAGCATTAAAGTCAAATATAAATCACAGTTATTAAAAGTCCAAGGCGCACCAAGACGTTAGAAGTCTTTTGGAGCGTAGGAGCGAGGCGCACGGCGAGGTGCGCGCCTGAGTGAAGTGAGGTGCACAATTGAAAATTTAAACTACTATAATAATATTCATATCTCATAAGTCATATCAATATTCTAAAAATTAATATCAAATATAAAAAAGTAAATTCATCAATTATACAAGCATCCAACAATCATAAAATAGAGTACAAATTTATTTTTTTGAAAGGTCAAGAAAAATGTGTTTTTTGAATGGCAAAATAAAGCACAAAAAGAAATAGATATGTTAACTAAAAAAAAAAAAAAAATTGTTAATAAGAGAAAAAAAAAAAAAGAAAAAAAAAAGAAGAAAAGACAGAGCCAAAAAAAAAAAGGCAGAGAGATGAAAGAACTAGATGAAGAGAGAGATGTAAACAAAGATAAGAAGAGAGAGAGGGAAAAAAAAAAAAAAAAAAAAGAATTGACGTGGCTTCGTCGTTCATCTCTACAACTAGGGCTTCGTTTTTGTCTCACAATCTCATTCTATCGTTATTCGGTTAACACTTGGACTCATGGGCTTTCTTATATTTTTTTATTCTTTTGAACAAAAGTTCCTTATATCGTATGATTGAGCTTTCTTTTTTGCTTATTAAGTTGCCAAAAGTACCCTTTTTGGCTTAAGAAATAGAACAATCGTATTTTTTTAAACAAATATCAGTAAGGTGCGCAAACAGGACGAGGCGCAACCGAGGTACGCGCTTAATAAACATCGGTGAGCCTGGGATGACAAGAGGCGCTAAACCTGAGCCTCGAGCCTAGGCGCGCCTTTGACAACACTGGAATAAATAAATAAATAAATAAATAAATAAATATCTATATATATATATATATAGATATAAAAGTTTGTTTTAAAGCCTTATAAGAGTACGTTCATAATTATTTTAAGTCGATCGCTAAGCAAGAAAGTCAAAAATGGCAAGTTGTACCTGTCTCGATTGAACCTCAGCACTTATCGATCGATTGACACCTTCACTGTAACGACCCAGTCATTTGCCTTCCTTTCTTTTTTATTGAAATTTTATGAATGAAATTTTTTCATTTAATTCTGAGCTTTGTTTTGTGTCGCTTAGTGTCATCTCGAGTGCTCGGATTGGTTTCCTGAGACTCTTTTCCGTGGATTGACAACTTCCTTTGAGGACCGAGTCATTTTCACATTTTTCGTTTTTCGACACTATTCACTTTTCGTCATTTTCCCTATTTCGTCCTTTTCCCTATTTTGTCTTTTCCCCGTTTGACACTTTGTTGGCGTAACCACACTTCTTGTGTTCGGAGTTGGTTTTTGACTTCATGTATCTCCATCTTGAGTGGTTTCCACGAAATACGTATCTTTACCTTTGTAAGAAAGTACTCTGGTTGCTCCCGGTGTCGATAGAGGCATGGATGCAAAGTTCTTTGAAATTATTTTCTTTTCTTGGGGTGTTTTTCGTAAATATCTTTTGAAGATATTTTATTTCAGAGGTTTTTAAGAAAATATTTTTGGAAGATATTTTTATTCTGGGCCATAAGTGCAGTTTTCACTTTTTGGAGGGGCCATTGTGCAATTAATGAAAGTTATTACAAAATGTCTTGTTTGATCCTGGATTCTCGTACGGGATTCATTTTTATATTTTGTTGAGCTGTGTACTCTTGGAATTTCCTCCTGGTCGATGTTTTCCAGTTTCAGGGTTTTTGGCCCCCATTTGCGCCAAACTTGTTTTAGGCATAACTTTCTACTCGGGACTCGTTTTTTGATGCCATTTCTTCTGTTATTCATATTTTATCATTTTGAATCTTTTTCGTTCACAAAGTTTTGCCATTTGAGCGCGTTTGCTCAAATTTTACTTTTTCGGACCCGACGGGGCCCGTTCGGGGCACTTTTTGAGATTTCTATAAAAGGGGGGTGGGATATTTCATTTTTCATCTTCTCCCCTCTTCATGCACGACCTGGAGCTCCCATGGCAGCCCAAGGGGTGCTGCCATCTTCTCTCTTCTCTTTTGGTTCACTTTTCCTTGATGGAAAGTCTTCGGCCTTAACGTTTGTTATTCCCCTCGCCGTGCTCTGCCTTTCCCCCTTATTAGAATTCAGTTTTGACCATTTCTTGAGTTTGCTTTTGAGGTCAAGTTATAATTTTGATGGGGCTTTCATAGGGGTTATGTTCACGGCGTTGTCCCCGACAAAACCTAGTAGTTTCGTCAGATTCGGAGCCGTTCCATTTTGATGGCTTTTGAGATTTTCATCTCAAATTGAGATAGGGGATGTTCTAGGTTTAAATTCTTGTTATATAGCATGCTTGTGATGCTTATACTACTTGTTTGCATGATTAAATATAAAATCTAGAGATTTTATTATTTATTTTATTTGTACGGGATCTAATTTTTCCGGTTGCTTATGACTTGGTTTAAATATGTAGCATGATTTTATATTGCCCCTTGATATGCTCATTGTCGTGTATTAAAATTGGACCATTTGAATAAGTATTAAAGATTTTATTTAATATTTATCTTAGGTGAAAGATTAATTCACATGACCTTAACTAGCTTAAAATCAATATATGTTAGCATATTAAATTAGGCCTTAGCATGCTCTCCAACATAGTTGAATTTGAAAGTGATTAGAGGTGTTTTGAAAATTAGTAATTATTAATTAATTTGCCCCGAGTGCACTATTCACTCTATTTAAATTCTGACTTGATATTCTTGATTTACATGCCATATAGTTTCACATATATTTGATTTAGAATATTCGGTTAGATTTTGAAACCTTTTATTTAATTAAATTCCATGTTTAAGATTTAATCCTCATGGTGATATACAACTTGGAATTGTATTGTGGCATGCTAGAAAATTAAGTTTTGATATGGTTGTTCACATGTATTAAATTGTATTTAACTTTAGTGAATGTTTAATTCGCATGGTCATAAATTGAATGAAATAAACTTATAATATGATATTACATTAGTCCTTGGCATGTTTTCCAACATAGGTTAATTAGAGAGCATTTGGTTAAGTTTGAAAATTAAGAGATTTTAATTAAAAGAATTAATTGAAATCTATTTTGTGGTCCCATTAGCTTAATTAAGGTTTTAACTTGATATTTGTATTGGCCATGACTTGTTTAGTAGTATATATTAATTTGGGATTATTAGAAGTTGTTTTAGAGCCTTGGTAATAAAATTAGCATGATTTAATTAAAGTTCTACTTTGTTGTTCCAACAACCTAATTGAGTTTTAGAATAGATATAGGTGATGACCATGCCATGTCCTTTAACATGTATTAAATTGAGGTTATTTGGAATTGAATCGGAATCTAGAGAATTTAATTGTGTTTATCTATTTAAATTCTATCAATTTGTTCCATGATCTAGTTGTGTTTTAGATGTGGTTTCTATATTCAAATCATGGACTTAGACTTGATGTATATTCATTTGGTTATGTTTTGAACATTGGATAACATAGTTGCTATATTTGTATTCGTGATAATATGTTTTCCTTATTGAATATATTGTTGCCTTGTGTAATAATTTGCACACTTCGTGTTTAACATCTTTCATGCATAGTGTATAACGAATTGCACACTGAAGATTCGACATTCATCATATCATATTAGATGTGGATTTAGAGTATGTATTGTATAGGTTTCCAAATTTAGTTGTGCTTAGTAGATAGTTGATTATCTTGCATATTCCTATTGATATATGCGTTGTTGCACAACTTGTTGATTTTGGAAACTTGGAGATGTCGTTGTTTGACTATGGCTAGGACGTGGTTCTAGTACGGGGGATAGTCTCTTTAAAGTAACTACGTTGTCGGTCTGATCCGGCGTGACGTTCGAGTATCCACTTTGTTTGAT